GATTTTTTGTAATGCCTACTGTTAGTTCCATGCCTTTCCCGCAGATACATTTCGACTTTGAAAAAAGCCCCTAATAAGTCAACTCTTACGACATGCGTTTTATGGAAGCAGTGGGGCTTGTTTTTTCCCCACAATGGGGCCCCGGAACCCCGAATTTTGAATACATCAAGTAATATTCGTACCTATTTGGACAGACCAGAGCAAGTAATTATTGTACGCCTTAGAGCAGGGCACAATCGACTTTGCAGACACATCTACACTCAATTTAAGATTGGCAAATCAGCCATGTGCACATGTGGATTGGCACCTGAGACAACAGATCACGTCTTCCAAGACTGTCCCAAATACAACATATCAAGTATCAAGGCCAAGAGAAACATCATTGCAAGCCAAACTGTACGGGTCGCTGAGTGAATTAAATAGGCAGTGAAGTTCATACTAGAGGCTACGGTGCAGATATAGATAATCTATTTCGAGCGAACGAAAGAAGAAGATGCGTGCACTTTTGACAGCCCCAAAAATCCATTTTATTAGGACCTATCTATCTAAAAACCCGCAAACACAAGAACAGAACACAGGAAAGTAAAAGAGGACATGGCAGGTACACGAGTGTGGCATCACACAGGAGAGTTTCCCCCAGTTACCTGCGCACACAGCACAGCAGGTGAAACAGGTATGTGTATCTGTGCTGGGGTGAGAAACTTCGACATGAACACCACAAAACAAACACGCACAAAAACTTGTCTTCTGTGGAACGTGTACGGGGAACTCCACTAGCGATCCGTTTGTGTTGGGACAAAACACCGTTCATTCATGGACAAATGTGCGGCGTTCTGAGGACAGGGAAGTGGGTGAGTGTTCTGTATTCCCTTGTGTTTCCCTTCCAAGTTTGCAGGCTGTAAAATTCACATCTCAGATATGAGAATGAAACAGGTACTGGACCCGGGAACCCAGTTTAATGTATTGCACAGCTATAGTGGGGTACCACAAACCGCTACGATGTACTGCAGTTCAGTGTGAGTGGCTGAGTTGTGTGTTTTCCTCACTGAACTTTTTCTCACGCCTTCCCCATTCTTTACAAACACAACTTTGTGAGAGTAAATATTCAGCCAGTGGCTTAATACTGATGTGCGTTTTCTGAGTCTATTTCTAAACAGGTTTTCAATAGTCCAATAGACCAGCTGGAGTGCATTGTTTCGGTTGCGTAATGTTTACATAAGTAAGGAATCCTGTAATCCTCAAACCTCATACCGCTGTTATCGATCCAGCAGCGCTTGGGCTTCGGCCTTGCGGTCCTTGCAGTTCATGTACTGACCATTTATAGAATCAGAGGCCATACTACAGTAATCCTGATAACTACCGGGTTTATTTAGTTACAGTTGAGAATTGTAGGATTTCTATTGTGTTTATAATTATAGAATACCAGAAGATTTCGTTAAACCCTTCTGGGCATGGTTATATTATTAAAATGATAGGGCATCAAGGCTTTATTCCTAGGGTCCAGTCAAGTCTATAAAATTGGGCTCTCTCTCTGTGCATCTTGGTTATAATTTGAGCTATAATATAGACAGTATGTATAGCGTTTTTTATGTGAGACACATTTTTATGCAGTTAAACGTTATATTATGCCTCCAGACATTGTTTTCCATTATCATAGGTTTTCCTTTTTACAGTGGCCATATATTTAGTTATTAGTTTGGGAGGCAATATTTCGTGATTGTGTACTTTAGTAAATACTGTTATATATTATTATTATTATTATGCTTCTGACAATCATCACAGTTAAAAGATTTTTTTTGTGTGTGTGAAGCAAAATAAAACACTTGAAGTTGTAACCTCAGAAATATTGTCCTGTAAGAAATGTTCTCTTGTCACAGTACTGTTTATAAAGGTTTTCTTTTCTTTAAGTTTTGATATTTGATTAGTATCTGTTCCTATGTTATCCCTTTTTAATTGACAATTTAGTGTCAGAGCTATATGTATTCTTTTATTATTTGCTAATTTTTTCTTTAATTTTATGTCTACTATTTATTCCCATAAATTCTCACAATAGGCTTATATAAACAGCACTGAATTGATTCTGATTGTTGAATATTGACACCCCCATAAGCGCTCCGTTCCAATCTTCAGCAGCAAGCAAAAAGTTAAACATCCGATGTTACCAGTAACTGTCTGATTGTAATTCTGTTTCGAGCGTCGGCCAGATCCCCTTGTAACTCCTCACTGTGCCATTCTCCTCACATTATAATGATCTGTCTGTTCCTCGGCACTGTTCACTTGCTCCTAAAGGGCCTTCACAACATACATCTTGTCATACATCAGTTCACCCCCAGGTGGTGCAGAACCAGCCAGTCTATCATTTCCCAACACACCGGCATGATCTGGAGAAAATATCCAAAGAATGCTAACTAGCCGGAACCTTTGAAGTGATGCTTGCCACTCTGCATGGAGCATGCCTGTCTGCATCTTTCTCAACATGCTCTGTGAGTCAGTTACAGTGACAGCCTGTTTCTGGTACAGTAGTAGGTAAAAGGGCTTCTACTATATGAAGCTTAATGCACATCTCATGTTCACTACCCAAATTGTTTTGCTGTCTAATTTTACTGTAAGATATCCTATTCAACCTTCTTAGTTACAAATGGTATGAAAAGTTTATAGTTCCCATCTGTACTTTTGCTGCTTTATACTATATGCATCACAGTGTGGGTACCGGTGTTCCATTTTAGGGGGAACAGAATGAACCATTGCTCCCTAACAAGATAACTAATTCGAGATGTTTCCTCCGAAGTTGGAGTGCATCTGTCTGAGAGGCCTGGAACCAACATTCTGCCAAATCTGTAAAACAGATGTGCATGCAAGACTCAAATTCTGGAACAAGACTAGAGTTCAGAAGTAGTGACCAATAAGAACTTTCCACGGGAGTTTACAGCCAGTGAACACTAAAGAAGACCAAGAAAGAGATGGATAAATGATGTAGCCGAAACCTGCAAAAAAAAAATTAACAAATCCATCGCCCAAGCCACCCGAGAAGTGCAAGACAAATACAGAAAACCAGGATACTGGGCTACATAACTGGGCTACAACCTGGTATCAGTGAGATGACAAAACCACAACACTGAGCTACAGCCTGTTACAGAAAGACGACAAAACCACGACACTCGGCTACAACCTGGTATCAGTGAGACGACAAAACCACAACACTGGGCTACAGCCTGTTACAGAAAGACGACAAAACCACGACACTCGGCTACAACCTGGTATCAGTGAGACGACAAATGAAGAAGAAAAACACTAAGGAAAAGAGACTAAACACCCAGAGAGTCAAGCACATCACCCAGATTGTGGAGAGGCAGGATCAACCATGCCTGTCAGCAAGGCACTTAATGATAATGATGATTAAGATTTTTGTTTAGCCCAGGCATGTGAAATTGAGGGTCACCCGAGGGCCATAAGGGTCGAATATTGTCATCATGAAGGCCACACACAACAACTAATTGGAGTCATTTGATACAAATTATTGCAGAATATTTCCTTTTTTGTGAGCCACGGTAGTGCTTGTTATAGGCTGCATGCGGTTCGTGATCTCCCAGTTTGACATGCCAATTTTAGCCCCTCTAACATTATCATCATCAAAATGATCATCATCATCATGTTATACCATTAAACATCAGACAGGGATTACCATCAGGAGGTAAATAGTCATGACATAAATGACATTTTTGTGTACTATGCTAGATGTAGCGAGGAAACATCGACTTAGGAACAACAATGACATCAGGAGGAGAGTAGGCACAGAACCAATATTGAACTTTATAAGTGGATGACAAATCAAATGGTTTGGTCATGTAACAAGATTGGTATCAGACAGGGTACCACTAAGATCAGTGTTATAGGGATACAGTGGTAACAGATCCAGAGGTCAATCACACAGAAGATGGACTGCAGAAATATGAGAGACATTAAAAATACTTTATATGAAGCCAACAGAAAGGGACGAAGCAGCCAGAAAAGTCTGAAGCAGGACCTTACATCTCCCTTGACACCCAAAGTGGTAAAAGAGGATGTAAAGAAGAAGAAGAACAGAAAGGCCCGTTGCATAGATTTCTTCCTGCCCTGATGCCACAAGGCATTCTAGTAGAAAAAAGAAGAAGAAGGAGAGGGATTGCTGTCAAATCCTCCATCTCATTCTGTTTTGTGCCTCTGTCAGGGTAACATGAAACTATGGAAGCAAGTGGTGGATTGAGCTTGAGAGCAACTGACAGATAAATGTTTGTCTTGGGGTCATGGTATTGCGTTCTCAGCATTTAAACCATACAAACCAAACTACCTTCTTTGAGATTCCAGCCAACAGATAATTGGTGGTCATGGATTCAAGTTCCCCGATGGTAGACAAGAGGATCACAATATAGTGACAATGGCTGTGGTCATCCAGCCAGTATGGTCACTGCCATGAAGGAGAGCAATGGCAAACTGCCTTCTTTGAGATGGCAAGGAAAGTCCTCATTTAACAGATTAATCAAGTAACAGAAAGTATTGTGAACGGCACTCATAGAAAGAAGTAGAAAGATAGAAGAACACACTAGACAATATAAAAATCGAAAGCTATAGTTACCGTGCTGGGAATTGAACCTGTCACCTCCAGACGGCGTCTGCGCCTCGCCATGAATACAAGTGCACTAAGATACATGGTCAACTAGGCACCCGCAAAAAAAGTTGTCTCATTGGCCATGTCTATCGTACAGCCAGATAAACAGTGTAAATGGGAATGGATGGGGTGAGATAAGTACAGTGTTTTGATCTATGATTCTGGTGATCATTTTAGATGGCAAAGGATTGACTGCCTGCGCTCAAAAGCAGAGCACATAATGATGCTTGATATTGATTTGTACCAGAAGTTCAACCAGAATATACGAATGTTCTATGTAATTTACTTTCAGGTTCTGATCCAGTCACAATACATGATGGCTCCCAGGTAGAACAGTAGATGGTGATAAGCAACAATGCAATCTTGCTATCTTCGACATTTGACCTTTTCTTGCTCCAAGTGTACAATGTTTTATCATCAAATTCTACCTGTATTAAAAGGACAATCCTCAAAAAATCTGCGACTAGTTCAACATATACTGAACAGCCATAGTTATTTTGTTAAATCTGAACGATATATTTCATTTTCAAGTGTAAGACATTATGAGATTATTCCAAGGTTGGCTGGCCAAAGTGAAGTGAATCTAAAGAAAGATGCCGTAGACATGTTTCAGTGCGGCCATCCAGGCAGTTCACCCTAAGACAATGATTCACAACATGCTGAAGTACAACGCTATAACATCCGAGCTCCGAGTAGAGAATAAAGTGTACAACTTGAACAAGAATGTGTATGTTGTGGGCCTCGGCAAGGCTGCAATGGGAATGGCCAGGGTTGTGGAAGACATGTTGGGACAGCATATTGTGGAAGGTATCATTACTATCCCCAAAGGAGTACAGCAGCAGATGGTACAGCTACAGTTGAAGTAAGTGGTTATTCTTTGCCGTGTGACATTGATTTTCATGTTGGTTCAATTTTCTGTCTCATATTCTGTTAATAATTTATTCTTCTTCTTTTCTAGTCCTCTTCTGTTTTTCATCGTCAGGAATGAAGAGAAATCAGGTGGCAGCCATCATATTTATGCTTAGATACTGGTATTTATGGCCTTGGATATTGCATCTGTCCATCTCTTACGTGATCTCCAGATTTGCTTCCATTGTGGCGAATGGATGTCACTTAGTGCAACAAAGGCTGGCATATGATATCACAACATCTAATTGGAGAATGGAGTTGGAGGCAGTCACTGCTGCCTTTCAGTGGTTTGAGAATCAGTTGTACACACATGCCGTCATTGTAACCGACTCACAGAGCATGTTTAGAAAGGTGGAGACGGGCATGCTTTGTGCAGAGTGGCAAGCATCACTTCAAAGGTCCCGGGTAGTTAGCATCCTTTGGATATTTTCTCTGTGTCGTGCCGGTATGTTGGGAAATGAGCAGGAAGATAGACTCGCTGGCCCAGCACCACTTGGTAGTGAACTGATGTGTGACAAGCTGGATGTTGTGAAGGCCATTTGGGAAAGAGTAAACAGTGCGGATGTGCAGATCGATCATTACTGTCTGAGGATAATGGCGCTGCCAGGAGTTACCAGGGAATGTGGCCGACGCTCAACACACAGGGGAAGGAAGGGATGGATATACAATCAGACGGCTTCTGGTGCTATCAGAATTGGAACCCTTCGCTTGCTGCAAGAGACGGGGACGGAGAACCAATGTGGGTGCCCCGAGTGCTGTGATGTTGATTCTTAATTCAAAATTCAACAAGATTCAACATTCTTCTCCTTTTCTAGTTTTCTAGTCCTCTTCTGTTTTTCAGCGTCAGGAATGAAGAGACATCAGATGGCAGCCATGGAATGTATGCTTAGATACTGGTATTTATGGCCTCGGATATTCTATCTGTCCATCGCTTGCGTGGTCACAATCTCTAGCTTTGCTTCCATTGTGTCACAATCTCTAGCTTTGCTTCCATTGTGTCACAATCTCTAGCTGTGCTTCCATTGTGTCACAATCTCTAGCTTTGCTGCCATTGTGTCTAAGTGACAAGGCTGTCTTATGTTCTGTTTATAATTTGCGATTAAGATATTCTTCCACAGTGATGCCAAACTAATATCTTCTTTCATGTTCTTTCTTCGGCCTCTCTCCCCTTCCAACTTTTCTGTAAACATAACTCATTTACATTTACATGTTACAGCTGTTGATTCTGAATTCCCTCAGTGTGAGTGAGGTATTTAAATATAAAATGGTAATAAAGACTTCACAACATCACAGAAATACCAAGCAGCTGAACACACCCTGCCTGGGCTACCTATCATCTGTTAAACTGTTATGTCTACAGGCACAAAGTTTATTGACAAATGGAGTCAAAGACATTTTATTTATCACTAGGATTCTCTAAGATTGAGTAGTCAAACCCCATGTGGGTTTCTGGGCCCCACTGTGGGGGAAGAGGGGAGGATAGAGCCACTGTCCCCTAACAAGCCTTTCGTATAAGTCAACTAATTATAGGTTTTCCGTCGAAGTCGAAGGGCATCTACCCTAGAGGCAAGAAACCAACAGTCTGCATACAAATAAGCAAAGTCTGTAAAATTTAAGTTCTTGAACAAGACTCAAGTCAAAATTAGAGAAACAACCAGAACTTTCTGCCAGAATTTGCAACCAGTGAACAGGAAGAAAAACAACATAGGATTTATGCATGATGATGATGGCAGTTATAGATCAAAAACAGAATACCTCGTATTAGACAAGGGAGTTTCTGAAGACCATATATGAACGATTTTTGGCAGAAGACTCAAGATTAGATGAAATAACATGGGCGAGAATGTGTGAACGAGGAATTAAGTGTGGGTCCGGCAAGGAGGGACAGATGAGAGAAAGAGATCAGCGTGTGTTTAATCAGTGTGTGATGGGAACAGTGAGCATCTACACCTTACGTCATTTGTTGTGGGAGACGGAGCATGTATGGGTATGCCTGGTGTGCTATGATGTTGATTCTTAAATCAGTAAAACAGAATACATCTCATGGGGCTGCTCAGATTATAGAGATTGATGTTGCCAAATGTGGCCAGTGGATGTTGAGCTGAAGCAGAAGTTGTGGGGCTCCCACATTGATATGGATAGGGAAGTTCGTCCTGGGAGCAGGTTTAATCAGGTGCGATCTCCACAATGAAGTCTGGCCTATAGTTGATCTCCAACATGCTCTGTCTCTTGTCTTGGTTGTACACTCTCTCAGACTGCTGTTTGTCAACTTTTTTTTTTTTAATGTTGTTCTCCCACTGGTATCATTGTCTGCTTCTTGCTTTCTTGCCCTGAACTTTTTCCTCCAGTATGGTTTTAAAAGAATTATGAGCAGGTTAGCAGTGATCAGGTTGTATCATCACCTTTTGATATTTTCTTCAGGCTATGCAGGTGTGTTGGGAAATGAACAGTCAGATATTCTGGCTAGTTCTGCACCCACACAATGGTAAATTGATGCATGACAGTTGATCCATGACAAGTAAGATGTCAAGGCCCTTTTGTGAGGGAACAGTGTGGAAACACAATCATGTCATCACATTTGAAGAGAATCTTGCAACCAGGAGTGACCAGGGGATCTGTCTAACACTCCACACTCAGAGAAAAGGCCAGACAGATATTCAGTCAGACAGCTGCTGGTAGGAACTCTTTGCGGGCTGCTGAAGATGGGGATGGAGCACTCATGGGAATATCCTGAGAGTTGCAATGTCAGTTCTTGAAACTCAGCTTTGTTGAATCTGATATTTAAAAGATATTTATTCTATTTCAGTGAAATACTACTGGCAGAAAACTCGAAGATTGAGGTTTATGAAGGGGCTGAGTGTCGGGAGGTGGATGAAGCTTGTTATAGTGCAGCTAAAGCCATTTCTAAGATGGTTGAGAAGCTAACAGAGCAGGACCTGTTGATTGTCCTGAGTTCAGGTTTGTGTTCTTGAAATACCTTCTGTGACAGTGCATTTCCACCTGTCTCTGTCTGTCTGTCTGTCCATTCATCTGTCTGTCTGTCTACCTGCCTAGCTGTCTGTCCATCCATCTGTCTCCATCTGTCTATCTGTGTGTCTTCTATCTCATATGTGTGTCTGTCTTCTTCTTCTTAACGTTCACTGGCTGTAAACATTAGCAAAAAGTTATGGTTGTTTGTCCACTCCTGGTCTTTGGTGTTGGAACTTTGGTTGTGCATGCACGTCGGTTGTACAAATCTGGCGGCCTACTTGTGGACAGACTATTGGTTTCTTGCCTCTCAGGCAGATGCACTCTGACTTTGAAGGAATTGCGCCTAATTAGTCGCCTTCTAGGACATTATTGTTGGGAGGGGGGCAGTGCATCTGTTCTTTATCCTCCTAAATGTAGACCTGGAACCCACATGGGGAATTTCTGTCTGAATGTAGAAATTAATCCACTGAACTATGACTAGTAAGCTTTTAAAAAGTTGGGAGGGGAAAAAACACTGGAACAATCAGGTGTTCTGGCAGCACTTGTTGATAAAGGCTGCTGTCAAATGTCCAATAGTTCCTGTGCACATTTCTCCCCTTTCCTTCATCGTTAAGCTTCTTAGTTCATGGATTAGTTTCTTGATGCTATCTTGACCTCAGCCACCCTTTTTTTTCACTGCCTGTCTGTTTATATCAGTGGTTCTCAACCTGTTGGTCACAATACTTTTTGTGGGTCAAATCACCCTTTCACAGGGGTCGCCAGCCATTAGAAAACACATATTCACTGAAGCTATGAAGTAGCAACAAAAATAATTTTATGGTCGGGAGTCGCCACAATATGGTTAAGAACCACTGGTCTATAGCCTTATCACGTTTTAAAGTAAACAGTTGGATCAATTGTTTTTTTTTTTTTTCTTCTTCTTAAATCTGTGCAGTTAAAGATCTGTTCATCTGTGGTTGTGTCTTGTATCCTGTTTGCTTATGATATATACATTTTGATGTTTCTTCTTCTTCTTCTTCTTCTCTTGTCCTGTTCTGTTCTGTCTTTCAGCATCAGGTTTTGAAGAGGTATCAGGTGTGTGTGCCTTTGTATGTACTACGTATTTATGGCCTTGTATATTCTCTCTATCCACCATCGCCTCTAGCTGTGCTTCCATTAGGTTTGGTTTGGTTTAAACAATGGATCAACATCATGGCACAAGGGTAGTAACTCATAAGTGCTCCATTCTACTTCTAACTCAAGTCTGAGCCCGAAGAATCTCAGCCCAGTGAATGAACTCCGTAGCACCAGCAAGGATCCTGAAACATTTTGGGTACATTTTTAACTCCAGACTTTGCCTGGGCAGCGCCGCTAGGCTACTCTTTTTGATTTCAAACTGCCAAAGAATTTTTGTTTACATGCGCAACAATACATACAGGCGTCTGATCTTACTACCCAGAAACCAGGGGAAATTACTAGAAGTCCACATGAATAAATCCCTGCCTTTTTCTGAACCCGGGACCTCCAGCACTCGAGGCAGACACTATGCCTTGAGACCACTCAGTCCCCATTAGGTCTGAGGATCAGGGCATTTTCTCTTTGTGGCGCACTGTCTGGGGTAGTTTTGACACATGTCCAAACCATTTGATCTGTTGATTGTATTTCTTGAAGTTATTAAATCAAGCATCCTATTGGTCACCCTCAGAGTGCAGGGAAGTTGAGGATCTACTAAAATACTCACAGGCATTGACCCTTTAATCCTAGTAGTGCTAAAAAACAAATTTTTTAACACAAATTAATCACGACCCTGTGGATATTTTAATTTTTTTTTAAATCTATTAAAAACAAAAATTGTACATAAATGACTAATAACTTTGTTAAAAAAAACTTATTTATGTGCATTTGTAATAAATTTGTTCTGAAACATATAAAGATGTACAAAAGTAGTAATCAATAAACATGAGCAGGGTGGCGCATTAAATGAAATATATTTCCCCAGATCTAAAAAACATATGTATCAGTTGTTTCATGCCATGACCCAGTGATGTCAACTCTGAGCCAACTTGGCCTCTCTCTCTCTCTCTCTCTCTCTCTCTCTCTCTCTCTCTCTCTCTCTCTCTCTCTCTCTCTCTCTCTCTCTCTCTTGTTGTACCACCAAGACATCACACAAGCGATAAACACCCAGTGACACAAAGTGCCACCAAGTGGATGAGGATCACCCGCGGAGATGTCCCAGTCGCTTCTTTCAGCAGTTAGGCCATATTTATTACCTGGCTATATTCAGGGCCCCCGGCAAATGCCAGGGTAGGGCTTCAAAAAAATAAACATTGCAACCCACATGTGGATGACTAGAACATAATTGTAACTTGGCCTTAAACAATAATATGTATATATAATATATTTACATCCTGCCCTCATAAACATTTGCGCAGATGTAAACCTGGCCAGTAGCATCAACTATACATCTTATAAACAGGTCACTATATGCAATTCGGAAAAGTGACATTTAAGGTGCATTGGAGGCAACTGAAAGGGTTGGGTTTGTGGCTTTTCAGAGTGACGGGGTTAGGAGATATTGAGTCTTGTTCTAGGTTTGTGGCCAAGGGAGATAAGTAAAATATTACTGAATGCTTAGACATATGGTGTTAGACTAATTTGGGGAGAGGAAAGCTTTAGTAAAATACTAATAATATTCTTCTGCATTCTACCTTAAAAGCACAGTTGGCACTTTGTGTTCTGATTTACAGCTAGGCTGTGATATATGTGCCTTTCAACACAACTGATTTCCGCAAATCATTTATAAGCGAAGATTAATTAATAAATGCAGAGCAGCTCTCATGCAGGAAACCTGAGTTCAATCCACGGTAAGGTGATGGAGTTTTTCTGTTGGGGTCAAAATTTAAACGTCCCAACCTGTGCAGTCCGTGGCAGCAGCACTAACCAGGTGCCCTCAGGCTGAAGGCCCCCTTGTTTACACCGCCATTAAAAAAAAGTGGTCAAACAGACACTAGTGAGAGTTTATTTTTTGTAATTTTCTTTAACTACACGCTTGCTAAGGAGCAATAAGGATAATAAAAGCTAGGTACATATTCCATTTCTGAAGGTGAGGTTTTCTAAACAGACTCACAGAAAACAATCACATCGTTCTCCAGTGGATCCTGGCTCACTGCCGCATACCTGGAAATTAGTTAGCAGACAGACTTGCTAAAAATGGAATAAAGGAGAAACAACACACCCATTTAATGTCGTTACTAGAAATCAGAACTCAAGGGAAAATATAAGGAATTGTGGAGAGAACAAACTAACAGTAAACATCCAGCAGACTCAACAGAAAGCAACATACAACCATTTTCAGTCTACTAACAGAACACTGCAGGCTCAACAACCACATGCATAAAATAAATATTGTACAGTCCCCACAGAGTGCTCGTCAAACAGGACCACAAACACCTGAGCACATTCTGCAGACCTGCCCACTCTACATACAACTTCAAAAAGACACCTGGTCTCAAGAGCAAAGTGTGCAGAACAAGCTATGGGAAACTATGAAGGACCTGCTCATGACATGCGAGTTCATTGAGGCAACCCACCTGATGGTCTGATATGAGTAAAGGAGAAGAAAAAGTAAAACCCTTTTGGACACTTAGAAGCAGAGAGTCCAACTCCAACCTCTAACTTGGGGTAAAAGAGAGGTTTAGTAAAATACTCAAAGATCATAATCATCATTGTTTAGCATGTCCATTGCAGAATGTCGCTCTCATCACAGTGTGCCTGAAATAAACTTAATCCCTTGCAAGATTTCTTGACTTGCGCACTTTCCTATCCAAGTTGTTACTTATATTTTGTGTCCTTCATTGTACTGATTGGCCCTTAGCCCTCTTTTCTGACATCATGCCTTCTGCTATGCAGCTTTAAGGAAAAGACAAGCACTGTGCTTTGGTCCTGTGATGAGGGGGGGAGGCTTTGGAGAATATTGTGACAATGGGGAATATATAACAGTAGAAGATGGAGAGGCAGACAGAGAGAGATGGAACTGATCCAGAAGATAAGGGACCGAGATCTGTGGAGTTGCATGAACACCTACGCCAGTCGGCAGAGCATATGATGAGTATGATGATGATGATGCCTTCTGCTACTATTCATTCCAATCCACCATGGTGCTTGATATGGCCAAACAATTTCAGAAACAGAGGCCAGTCTTATGACAGATAAAGGTGTAAAAAAATTTTTTAATTTTGTACCGAAATATCCTGTTATTTAATTTCATGGGAATTATCGTGTACGTCATTTCATTTTGCAGCTGGGGGATCAATACTTTGCCCCTCACCAGAGCCACCAATCACATTGCAAGACCTTCGTGATGTCACTCGACTTCTGCAAAAAAATGGTGCAAGTGTTAGAGAGATAAACATCCTACGCAAAAACATTGAAATTCTCAAAGGTGGGGGACTTGCACTGAAAGCAAAACCAGCCCAGGTATTATGAACTACTGTGTCCTGCATCCTGTATGTATGTAAGAGTTGTTTGTATGGGAAGGCATGAGGGTATATATGTGTGTATATGTAAGTTTATTTGTGTATATATCAGTTTGAGTGTATGTATATGTATCTTTAAATACACGTATAAGTGAACGTATGTATGTATGCAGTGTGTGTGCGCACGCACGCATATAATGTACATACAGCTTTGTAACAGAAGTAGTTGTGGTAAAAAGTGAGAATGCATGAGGTAACGTAACAGAAGAATAGGATAGAAAGGAGAAAATTTGTACCATATAAAGAGTAACAAATTTTATGTTTACTGGTACTAAATAGTGGGAAATTCGTTTAATTGTCACTTGGAATTCACTCATTTTTACTGTGACCCTTGATCCTGAAATACTGAAGTGAATCATGGGCCCTTGGCCAGTTAGTGAATAATTTTGTGGCAGTGGCAGATCTGTGGTTTTATTGATAAATGATGATAATTCACTGGACAGATAAGATGAGTAAGTAAGAGATCTTGAAAGAAATTGACACATGAAGAGAACTGATTGCCCACATCAGAAAGAGACAACCTACATTGTTTGGTCATGTGATGAGTATGAGAAAACTGGAGTACATCATGACTGTGGAAACTTGAAAGGGAGAAGAGACAGAGGGAGACCAAGAGAGAAGATGCTGATCAGTTTGACATCATAATAATAATAATGGCATCCGTCAGTCCCGGGGGACTATGGAGATGTGCCGCTGGCTTTGGGAACAGCATCTGCTGTGACTGTAAAGTCCAATGCGGGAATGGCAGTCTTTGCCACACAGGATACACACAAAAGCAGACACTTCCTCGTTGTGAGGCAGTTTTACTCTACGGTGCCTCCTCTCCACAGCTCGTTGTGTTCGGTTTCTTTCAAAATGTGACAGTCCGTCTTTCACTTTCTGTCTCCATAGTAGTCGATCTGCAGCTGATTTTTCCCATGTCTCTGTGCCTATGTTGGTATCTATTAGGTCACGTTTGCATACATCTTTATAGCGCAGCTTTGGCCTTCCTGTAGGTCTATTCCCAGTTACCAATTCACCATATAGGAGATCTTTTGGAATAATCCTCCATGCGGGAGACATGTCCCAGCCAGCGCAGACGTCTTTGCTTCAGAATACAATACATTGATGGTATTTTTGCTCTTGTGAGCACACATTCGTTGGAGACAAGGTCTCGCCATAATATACCAAGGATGCGTCTCAGACAGCGCATATGGAAGGTATTCAGTATTTTTTCCTGTGGAGCATAGAGAGTCCAGGATTCGCAGCCGTACAGTAATGTGCTCAGGACACAAGACTCATAAACCTTCATTTTTGAATTATCAGTTAGCTTATTGTTTGACCAGACTCTCTTTGTGAGATTTGCAAACATAGCAGAGGCCTTTCCTATACGTTTGTTTAGTTCTGGATCCAGAGAATGATTGCTTGAGATACGTGAGCCTAGGTACTCAAACTCATTTACAGCCAGCAGCTGATGGTCATACACACTAATGTTTGGCGGATTTCCAACATTCAATCCCATCACTTGTGTTTTGTTCAGACTGATGGTAAGCCCAAATTCTTTGCAAGCATTTGCAAAGCGATTCATCAGGATCTGCAGATCATCCTCTGAATGTGCCACAATGGCTGCATCATCCGCAAACAGAAAATCCCTGAGGCATCTCGTGTGCACCTTCGTCCTTGCACGTAGCCTGGACAGATTAAAAAGATTGCCATCTGACCTCGAACGGAGGTATATCCCCTCAGTTGCTGTCCCAAATGCACGCCTCAATAATGCGGTAAAAAAAGATGCCAAACAGCGTGGGAGCCAGAACACATCCTTGCTTTACTCCATTTCGAATCTGGAAGGGTTGAGATAATGAATCCTCATATATTATGGTCCCCCTCATATTCTCATGATAGGATTTGATTAGGCTCAGTAGTATAGGTGGGCATCCATATTTTTCAAGGATCAGTTTGACATCACTGCATGGAAAATCATCTGGTGTCAGAATTGTCTGAAAGTACATGAGGCAGAAGGTTGTGGATAGACATGACTACCAACACCACACAGCTTGGACTTTAAGAAGTTGAAAAAAAAAAAAAAAAGAGGATGAGACCCTTTTTTAGGGAGTGAGGCTAACCAATAATTATCTTCCTGTTTCCTCATCTGACAAAGCATCTCAGTTGTATTATGCATTTTAGTGTGAGGGTGAATTTTTTTTTTTTTAGTTACCTGTAAGAGTGAGATGGGCCTAGAGGTTAGTGAATGTGGTTAACAATTTCATGATCCAAGATGTTGTGTCATCCTTTTCACAAGAGTTTCTAGAGAAATCAGTTAACATACTTCATGGAAAGTTCCAGAAGCTGGTAGCAAAACCTGGTACCCCTATCAAATTTTTAATAGAACCTCTATGCATGTATGTCATTCAACCCGACCAGGACCATACAACAAGCGACCAACGCTCGGTGACACAGCCACCATTCGGATGAGGATCACATGCACACAAGTCCCAGAAACCCTGTTTAACCCATAGGGGTTATAATAAGGCCCCCAACACCAGCCGAGATGGGGCTTTAAAATAAAGAAAATTGCGCCCCACAGGGGAAAAGGCATTAAAAATAGAACCTCATGCTAAATGCTTTCCTCTAGTATCCATTTCTTGTAACAGTTATAGTTCATTAATAAATTGTAAGTATTTTAAAATAGAGATTTTTTTTAAAGTCATCCTGAGTATTCTGTCACTTCTTTCAAATTTGTAGGTGCTGTCACTAACGCTGTTGTCTGTCATTGGTGACACAGCAGACCTAATTTCCAGCGGCCCCACCTGCCCTACACAGCCAACTCCTTTCCACTGCATTGAAATTCTAAAAAGACTGAACATTATGGACCAAACCCCTGAAACTATCCGCCGATTTCTAGAAAGGCAATGCAAAAACTTGGAAAATTCTAAAGCTACCTTCGTCACTGACCCTGTGTCTGAGAAGGCTCTATATGATGCCACCTGGAAGCATGTACAGAATATTGTTGTGGGAAGTAACTCTATAGCTTGTGAAGCTGCGGCAGATAAAGCAGTAACTCTGGGTTATGTGCCCATTATTCTGACAACAGCAATGACAGGGGAGGCCAGAAAGGTTGGATCTCTCTATGCCAGGTTGGCCAAGTTCATCATGATCTGCTTTGACAGGTGAGACAAATACGGTCAATGTTAAAATGACATGAGTGTTGTGCCATTCATTTTTTTTTTTCCAACCATTATCATGTCATTAATTTAGCTGCTTTTATACTTCCCATGGGGCTCACAGTCTAGACCTCTATCCCAGGCAATCCTTTTCATATCATGGATGGAATCAAGTCTAGCACCTTTGATCTTGCTTTACAAAAACAAATGGACATGACCCAGTTAGGATTCTTGAAAAAAAAACCATAAAATAAAAACAATTTTTGCACAGGTCACTTGTAAATTCGTAAAGTATGTATTTATCAACAATTTAAAATTATTTTTAGAGTATATAAAGATATATGAAAGGAGTAATCAATGAATATGAATGAGATGAATCGTTATTGGTATACACTCTCCAGGACCTAAAAAACACACACACCTGTGACTCCCTGACCTCTATCATTGAGGATTTGGGGAAAATCTAGTGACAACTTGACTTTTAAAAAGCCATTTACCTCGAAGGAACACACTCTCCCTCCCCCTCCCCCTTGCTATCTTTAGTAAATATATTCATCTCCTGACCTTCTAAATGTTTGTACAGGCACAGACTCAGCCAGCAGCATTAAATACACTTCTCGTTAACAGGTCACTATAGGCATTTTAGAGAAGAGGACATTTACGAGGAATTTGACCCAAATGAAAATGTCAGTTTTCAGGGTGAAAGGGTTAACAATGTTTATCTCAGGGTTTCTTCTGGATGTTGTTTCCTCAGTCCACACTCCAGACATGCATACAGGTGCTCAGGCTCCCCCCTCAACTTAACATTAGTGTCCAGTAGCTAATAGTACCAGTCCTGTGCTGATGGACAAGACCTCTTATTCTTCAAACAAGGCCTCTCATGCCTACCTGTTTTATTTAATACTGATTTAGTAAAACAAGCGCTTACTGATCTGACTTTTTTTTTTAGTTGTGGTAAATTGTTGCTTCTGACAGATGGTGGCTGTTGCATTTTTCTCCATTGATAGACTAAAAGGATATCGTTTTATTGCCAAACTACTGAGTTGAGTGCATGGCGTGACAATGTGAGCTGAAGATTTCATTTGGAATGTTTCTCATCTGTTACCAGCATGGTGTTGGTAGCTGCAGATTTAGAAAATGGCGAGTGGCCCTTTGTTGCAAAATTGGTGACACCTTATTTGATTAAAATTAATCATGTTTGTAAATGCTGCGTCCGTCAATGATGAACAGTGCAGTTTGGTGCTACTCAAATCTTTAGCAAAAGTTATCAAAGTCAAATCAGCCAGCAGCTAGAACGCAGGACCGAGGGTGTTGGTCACCCCATGTGTCATCACCGAGGGGGAATGACAAAGTGGCCAGAAAAAAAATGTGTTTTTAAAATAAAATAAACATTTTTTATACATACATACATACGTACGTACGTACATGCATGCATACATATATACATACATAAACACACACACACACACACACACATATATATATATATATATACACACACACACACACACACACACATATATAGAGAGAGTGAGTGAAAGAGAAAGAAAAAAAAGGGGGGGGGGGTAAACAGGACATATTGCACATCAGGTACCACCTGATCCTGTTACGCTATGGGTACAGAATGTTAATTTAATTTCAAGCAGACGAACAAATATATTTTCCTTGTCTGTAATATTTAGCCTATTGTATTTATTGAATTGTTTCTGTTACAACAGAAAAGCATCCTTTGAACCCAACTCAGAACTCTCCATTCTGGAAACAGCTTTAGTTGCAGAAGGAATCAGAAAGCAGTGGATCAACTCAATCTGTCAAGAAATTGAAAAAGCCCGCAATTCTGACAGGGACGTCTGCATTATTGTAGGAGGCAATACATTTGTCACAGTTTGTGGTACAGGCATTGGAGGTAAGAACATGGAGTCTGCAATATCCGTAACCATGCAGCTTCAAGAAGAGTTCAGAATCAAGAAGTTATCAGTTGAAGAAACTCCCATGTGTTTTCTCAGCTGCGACACAGATGGTTATGATGGAAATACCAAAGTGGCAGGTGCTGTTGTTGACCAGGATTTTCTTCAAGAGGTGTTAAAAAGTGGTTTGGACATGAGAAAATATTTAGATAATAATGATTCATTTACCTTTTTTAACCAGGTCAATGGAGGACAGAATTTAGTTCCCATAAAACTGACGGGTACAAATGTAATGGACATAGTAATTTTGTTAGTGAAGAGACCCCGACAAGAGAATTAGCTTCGTTTTCGTTTTTGTGTTACTTTATTCTGCAGGTGGGTTCAGGGCTTAATTTTTAGGGGAGGCAAAAATAGACCCATTGTCCCTCTGAGCATTCATCATACGAGCTTAGACATGGAAAGGATTAAATTCATATCTTGAGGTGTCGCTCTAATTGGATATGTGTTTACATTTTTGTAAAATAAAAAGAACTGCTTTAGCAGGATATGTGTACAAATGTGGGTGTGTGAGAGAGAGAGATGGGGGGATGACAGTGAGGCCAATGGCACTCATGATGATTCACCATATTGTTTTTTACTGCTATGACTACGTTATACTGCCATGAGATTGTTTCATTACTAGTTATTTTGTGGGACAAAATGATGAATCTGTGTCTGCGTGCATCTGTTCCATTTTGTACTAGTTCTTCTATCTTGGTCTGTCTGTCTTGTAGTTAACTACCCGTGTAAACCCCTGTGTAAAAATATGTTCTTGAATTTTCTTACTGTCCTGTTGCGCTTCTTAATTCCAAAAAATCTCGTTCACTTCAGCTGCAGACAATTTGGCAGCCTATATTGATTTTCAAAATGGTAGGAGCATCAATTGTTTTTTATTTCTTTTCTTCTTTGCCTTCACCAGCTATAAACTCTGGCAGAAAGTTCTGGTTGTTTGTTCACCTTTGGGGTCTAGTCCTTTTCCAGAACCTGGCTGTTGTATGGACATTCATTTTACATATTTGACACATTTATATACAGACTGCTGGTTCCTTGCCTCTCAGGCAGATGCAACTCTGACTTAAAAGGAAGCTCCTGCTCCCAATTAGTCGACTCTTACAACATGCTTTTGGGTAGGTAGTGGGTCTGTTCTGGATTTTCCCCCACAATGGGGCCCTGGAACCCACACACACACAGGGAGCATCTATTGTTCAGGAGGCAGTAGTAAAAGCTGAACATAAAAGGGTTTAGTAAAACCACAAAAAGCCAAAATACGATGGAGCTGGTTCTGCAATGTCCCGTAAAGGATAAGCAATTAAACTTTGGTTAACTGTCTATTAATGTCTAGTTACTGTCATTCCACAGTAGTCTGATGTTTGGCTGTGACGAAGAGTTATGTTATCTTCAAATGGCTGTGATGAATAATTTTGTTATCTTAAAATGGCTGTGATGAGAGAAACAGTTTTGGTAAATTGAATTCACTTGGGTAATTATGCAACTTATCTTTGTGATACGTTTATCATGTGTTGTGACTGTGACCTTGGATAATTGCATCTCTATTCTGTCTGTTGTCGTTGTGCATTCTGCTTACCTTTTTTCCATGGTCATATCCAGAATGTTTGAGGGCAGTATTTGTTTTCCTTTTCCTCCTCCTCCTCCATATCCTACTCTTTCTCCTGATTCTCTACCTTATGTCTCCTCTCTTTCTTCTTTGTGTGTGTGCTCCTCGTGCTCTTTGCTGGAGTTTACAGCTGGTGAACACGATGAAGAAGAAGTTTAAATTTTGTGGTCTTTTATTCTCACTTTCCATGGTTATTGGATTGGATTTTTTTACCCCACCAGGACATCACACAAGCGATAAACACCCTATGACACAAAGTGCCACCATGCGGATGAGGATCACCGTGGAGAGGTCCCAGAAACCGCGTTCAGACATTTGGCCATAATGATGACCTGCCTATATTGCGGCCCCTGGCAAAAGCCAGAGTGGGGCTTCAAATAACAAAAAATAACGTCCTAAGAAGGACGAAAAGTAGTATACATATTCCATGGTTATGTTGTTTTTTAATTCAGTTAGTCTGTGTTAGTAAACCAGTAAAGCAAACACAATATAATTTTTTTTTTTAATCTTTGATACTGCATTTTTATTTTCGCCTAATGTTTTTTTGCCTCATATTTATAGTCTTTTCTAATGCAGGAAAACCTTATTAAAGTGACAGTAAAAGTTATTTGCATAACATACACAGCACTCCAGCATGTTCCATCCAGTTATTGTTTTCAATAATTGTCATTACAGCAAACCTTTGTATAGCTTTTGGCTGGGTTTATTTCCCCTTCTTCTGAGTTTGTCTTCCTGTTGAGTCTGGTTTCTAGTACAACAAAAACAGACTTTTGCTGTGAGGTTTGTTCCAGTTTGAGACCTTTCAGTCAGATATGACTCAACTACCGTATAACAATAGTGGGTACTACCCGTTCTCTGCTAAAACTGAATGTTGAGTGGTGTATGCCAAACCTGACATCCCACATTGTGTCTATGACTGAGGGTGGAGGAATGCATTGAGGAGTATTCACTTATCATATACCAAATTTCGTTCTTTTTAGGACGAAATTTTTTGTCATTTGAAGCCCCACTCTGGCTTTTGCCAGGGGCCGCAATATAGGCAGGCCATTTATATGGCCAAATGTCTGAACGCGGTTTCTGGGACCTCTCCACGGCGATCCTCATCCACATGGTGGCACTTTGTGTCATCGGGTGTTTATCGCTTGTGTGATGTCCTGGTGGGGTAGAAATTCAGTTCAGTTCACTTATCATACTAGCTTACTACCTTTCGTCCTTCTTGGGACGTTATTTTTTGTTATTTGAAGCCCCACTCTGGCTTTTGCCAGGGGCCGCAATATAGGCAGGTCATCATTATGGCCAAATGTCTGAACGCGGTTTCTGGGACCTCTCCATGGTGATCCTCATCCGCATAGTGGCACTTTATGTCATCGGGTGTTTATCGCTTGTGTGATGTCCTGGTGGGGTAAAAAATCCAATCCAATCCAATTCACTTATCATACACGTCCTTTTCAGGACGTAATTTTTTGTTATTTGAAGCCCCACCCTGGCTTTTGCCAGGGGCCGCAATATAGGCAGGCCATAAATGTGGCCAATTGTCTGAACGTGGTTTCTGGGACCTCTCCACGGTGATCCTCATCCGCATGGTGGCACTTTGTGTCATTGGGTGTTTGTCGCTTGTGTGATGTCCTAGTGGGGTAGAAAGTCCATCAGTCAGTTCACTTATCCTAGGATGAGGAAAATGCAACTTACTTAATTTTATGGCAGGGCAGAGCAGACCCATGACACATTGGCTAGCAGCTGGATGAGAAGGGAAGCTCTGACAGGCAGACAGACAATAGGCATCCAAACAGCAACGTCAGTGAGAGCACTCTCTTTCTCTCTCTCTCTCTCTCTCTCTCTCTCTCTCTCTCTCTCTCTCTCTGTCTCTCTCTCTGTCTCTCTCTCTCTCTCTCTCTTTCTCTCTCTTTTTGTACGAGAAAAATATGTGGAAGGGAAGGAGGGATAGAGAAAGACGAAGAGAGAAGATTCTTGATAGTCTTGTTGCATGGCATGGAGGTGTGTCAGCACACGAACTGATACATGCTGCAGAAGATCGCAGATTGTGGAGAGGCATGATCACCCACGCCAGTCGACAAGGCACCTGATGATGATGATATTCAGGGCCTCCGGCAAAAGCCAGGATGGGGCTTCAAATAATGAGAAATTGCATCCCAGGTGAGGACAATCGAGAGTACTGGTTCTTTGTGGCTCTCATACACGGTGAGTGTTGGAAACTTGCTGATGACAACATTTAGTAATGTCGCTTATACAGACCCTGGGGTAATGCTGACCACATTACCAACCCATTGCCAATTGGTCTGTAAAAATATGGGGCCCTCTTCCTGTATGCCCAATGCGCCTTAGGCATGAAAAAGGAGCTTTACTTTTTTTTACTTACTTATACAGACCACAAAAATATTTGACTCATTTATGCTGCTATGAATGACCTGCTTTCTGAGTTTTACTAACGAGGCTGTCTACTTAAATCCTATGTTGTCATTGGCACAGAAAGTCTCTTATTTAAAAATGCATTTTGTGAGTAACCGCTGCTCATAGAAAAGTCAGTTTAGATCAATATTGCACTCAGTGTCAAGAGTACCGGAACATTAACACAGAAACAGAGAATAACATTTCAGCTATTGTTAATGAGAAGGATGAACATGACTGGTTCTTCCTCTTCTTCTTCTCAAAGTCCATGCCATGTTGCAATGGTAGTCATGTCTATCCACAACCTTCTGTCTCGTGTACTTTCAATCAACTCGAATACAAATGATCCTCTATGCCGTGATGTCAAACTATCCAGCATCTATTCTCTCGGTCTTCCCCTGTCTCTCCTCCCCTTCAACTTCCCTAGCGTCACGATGTACTCCAGTTTTCTCATCCTCATCAAATGACCAAAGAATGTAGATTGTCTCTTTCTGATCCTGACTGGTAGTCTCTTTCTGATCCTGACTTAGAAGCTTTGTTTATTTTGGAAATTAAACAATCACTTCAAGTTTAATCTGTTACACTCCATTTAGACAATAAAGAGCAGTTTGTGAAAATCTGTCAATCTTCCCCCCCCCCCCACCCAATCCCACCTTTCCCCCACATTGCTTCGTTATTTCCCCATTTACAACGTCCCCGTGGACTATCTTAGCACTCCCAAATTTGATCGAGGCAGCTACCACCTCCTTGAACTGTCCCAGCGTCAGCACCTCCGCCCCCCCCCCCCCTCTTTTTTTATGAGACAGCAGCACCTACTTTGGAAAAAATTGGTCTAACCGAACCCACTAAGGCGACAGTAGCGCATCTTTCATTGCCTGAACCAGGCAGTAAAAACTGTAGCCTGACTGGAAGCATTGCACAACTGCAAGGAAAGAGTTGATATCACCAATGCAATATAGACTAGGCTGATGGATAATTACAAATCCCCAATGCTAACACAATTACACAGACTCGCAGTGGGCCTCACAAAGTATGTCGTTGCAGTCTTCGAAGGCGACATTAGAACCAACTCCTAGGGAAAACCAGTAGAGATAACAGGGGGGGGGGGGGTGTGTTGCTGCATCGGAGGACTAATCACATATGGGAATGCTCAGTTTGCTGTGACGTCGATAGCTAGAACACACGGGATGATTTTTATCATGCGGCAAGCAGATAAGCATATGCAGTCACAGTTCGCCGTTTGGTAGTTCGCCGTTTAACACAGTGCCGAATCAGACAGT